GTGACATCAGACACAAATCATCCGTTAAGTCCAGATCACTTGGACTGTTGTTGTTAGTCAGACATATACCTACCTAACCACGGTCTGATGAACAATCCAGTTCATTAGAGTTAGGAATGTCATCGGTGATTTGCTGCACTACATTAATTGCAATCTGTTTATCACTAAAATGCTTAGTGAGAAGAACACCTGATTACAATATACTGTAACAACAGAAGACAAGGGCCAGGCAACAGATCGTTTTATTATGAAAAACAACACGTATTTATACATATTTCACATACATTATTATAGCTTATGCAAGTAGACAAGCGCAGTTATCTGATTGGTTGTTTATCAGAAGTTAGGCAGACAAACGCAGGCTTCTGATTGGTTGTTTCGGGATTCCTCGACAAATAGAGTTCTCTATCTGCGAATCATATTTTGCCACGTTAACTTTGCTGTGATTGGTTGTTGAATCAGCCTTGCTCATATTTTCTCACGGCCTGCTCTCACCACAATACTACAGAATAATTTGAATCATCTACCAATTCACCTGCTCGTGTGGAGCCAGGTATTTCGGCCGTACTCAGCGTTCGCTATCCAAACGCGTCAACGAACATTTACCTTCATAGTTTTATAAAGGAGAAAACCGATGACCCCACAGCTCGATCCTTGAACATTTGATAGACTCTGGACACCAAGTCAAACCAGAAATGAACTTCAAAGTTATCTAGAGAATACAAGGCAATCTTGCTAAAAGTGTACGGATCAAACTTCTCCACATCGCAGAAGCAATGGCAATTCATCTGCTAAATCCTGAACTCTGCATACAAAAGAAATTCGTTCATTCATTAAATCTACAATGGACGTAATCTTTCTTAATTTCAGTCTTACTAATTGTATTATTTTGTCTTTTGCATTTTACTATTTCACATCTTCATTTATATTATTCCCTACCCCACCCTTTTGTAATCTCTACCCTCATTAACAATGTTGCTAACTTGACCCACGTCCAATTTCTAGTCAACTATGTTACGTCATCCGATTAATTTACTGATTTTCAACTGTATTATTCTCTAACCCCACCCTTATTTAATTTTAACCACCACTCATTAACACTGTTGCCAACCTGACCTACTCTGAATTCTACTCAACTGTATTACGTCATCCAATTCACTTAATCAATTCTATTTTATTTTCTATCTTAACGTTTGTCTCCAAGCCAAATAATACTTACATTACATAATTATCTAAACTTTATAAATCTAATGTACACACATACAAACAAAATTGTAGATATATGCGATTGTACAGCTCAGTGAATGAATACGCCGAAAAGAGTCTCTTTGCTGAACGCCTTCTTTTCTTTTATATGAAGGAAATAAAAGACAGATTAAGCGAAGAAAATTTTTAAAGATGCAAATTCATTGAGGATAATAATGTAGACGTATGTGTTTCGGTCCAATACTTAAAGGAACTACTTTTGAGGTGCACTCTAAATGTCCAGTTCAAGTTCAACAAAATGACTTATAGACAAAGAGATGGAGTGGCAATAATGTCACCACTGGGTCCTTTACTTGCAGACTGCTTCTTGGCTAGTTTGCAGAATAGTATTTTACGGCCTACTATCGGCAGTTTTCATCTGTACCAAAGATACATGGATGATACTTTCATCATATGTGACGACAATACCGACAGCTGCCATTATGCCATCAAGTTCACGTCGGAATCAGAGATTAACTCGGAATTCCATTTCTTGGATGTTTTTCTAAAGAGGAGATCTGATGGTTCTCTTCAAAGATCGATCTACACGAAACCAACATGGAATGGCCAGTACACAAATTTCCATAGCTGGGTCCCTTTGAGAAGAAAGAGAAATCTGATCCATTCCTTATCCTCAAGAATAAGGAGGATATGTTCCAGTGATACAGTCGATGGGAAACTGCGGCGACTTAGGGAAGTCCTCATAGAGAATGGATATCCTCCAAGACGGTGCCGAAGAAACTGCTATTTATGAGTGTTGAATTTAAAGAAGGTACCGCAGCTGGGATCCTGAAGAATCGCTTATGCAGATCACTGAGGAAAGCCTTCTTTATGACTGAGCTACGTATCATTTTCTGCAGCCGACAAATGATCAATGAATGTGTGAGGGATGAACTGCCGCTTTGGGCCACCTCAAATTTTTGTTTATAAATTCACCTGCTTCTCGTGTGGAGCTAGTTATATTGGAAACACAAAGCGCACGCTTTCCAAACGCATCTCTGAACATTATACAGGATGGTTAGCAAAGGGACAATGCAAGACAATTACTAGCTCAATTCTCGAGCATTTGGTGAACTCAGGTCACGTAACTTCACCAGAGTCGTCTTTCAAGATCATCTGTAAAGTGAAGCCAAATGGTACAAAGGGCGTCAGGTGTCGGCTTTTGTGTATGACGAAGGCGCTGGCGATTCATCAATACAACCCTGAACTCTGGATACAGAAAAAGTTTGTCCAGTCTCTTATTCTACCTTGGTCTTAACCTCTTCACTAATCGTTCCCTGTAAAATATTTTTGATTTTTTCTTTTGTTCTTAATCTTTAATTTTACTTTTAGTTTGCTTTTGCTTTAATAATTAATTCACTATTATCAATTTCATATGCTCCTTTTGTATATTTTCACACCCTCTTCACACTTGTTAAATTGACACTCAAATACCACCGTTATTCTCACTCAAGAGCAATTTTAACCTTTTCTAACTTCTATTTTTGTGCCGTAGAGTACCACGTAATTTACAACTTTTAATTTTCACTTCTAAAGCCACTTCCGAGTAATTATATCAATTATGTCAGCCCCTATTACTCAATAATAGACCACTATATATTTTTTGGTAAGTATGAATATGACTGTACAGCCAGCCTCTGAAGATGATTTCGTCGATAAAGAAAATTTTCTTCGCTGAATCAGTCTTTTATTTTCTTCATGAATCAATAATTTGAGTGTTTGGAAGCTATCCATCACATAAAGCAGTGGTGCTTTCTGGCTGAATCAAAGTGATTTAAAACACACCCGAAGATCATTTCAGTCGTTTGAAACTCCGCTCATAAGCAATAAATCCAGTGATTATCTCCATTTACTAGTATATTGGCAATTTTCTTGATGCAATGAGAACCAGACTACTTAAAAAACGTTTAAGTAGTTTGGTAATTCAAGTCAAAATACGACAGGCTAGTTAAATTGAAATTGATATATTTCTCCGGCCGTATCTCTTAAAGAAGTTTCAACTGATCGGGAAAACGGGGGTATTTTCTGTTTTCACGAATATGTCCTAAAATAGTTATTATTTTTCTTTTTGAGACCAACCAGCAGACTGTACAAGTCATCGATTTTCTTTCACATTGAAACATGCATTCCATACAGCATCGTTTTTACCCTAGATTGATATATTTCATAAGTAGTATAATAATAAGTAGTATATAAGGCATTGATGAAGATTTCAGCAATATAGATATATATGTGTATATTTTTAAACTGCACGTGAAGTAAATTATTCGCAAGAATAATGAAAAAGAGAATAAACTTTATAGCGATAATAATGACCAAAATTACAGATTTTTTTTTACCTACATCGTTCTGAAAAGTAAGAATACTTCATGAATCTATAATAGTAACAGTAATAATAATAATAATAATAATAATAATAGTAGAAAATTGTGGCATATACATAGATATAATACATTATCTAATATTACTTGACAAGTACAAGAAAGAACACGAGAAGATCACATATAAAGGAGAGATCCAGGGAGAGAGAGAGAGAGAGAGAGAAAGAGTACTGATGTGCGCATTCATGTTTTCATGTGTGTGTGTTTATGTGCTTGAAGGAACTGGCCAATTCTACAGATTAACCGAAATTCCTTTCCATAATGGAATGATTTCGAAGAAAAATACAGACCTAATAACAATAATAATAATAATACATTGTTTCTTGAAAAACCCGCCACATCTTGTCAATGTTCAATGGTAGAAAAAGCGCGTAAACTCAACTTTAACAAGTACATAGAAGTAAAGTAAAACAAAAGAGTGAATGAGAATAAAAGTTGAGAAATTAAACTCAAATGAAAACAAGAAACACAACAACAGCAACAATTATTTGAGTCACTATCAGGCACCATCTCAGTTGTCCCTCAACATTTCGCTACAATATCTCGTTCAATTAAAGCAAAAAATCTTCAATGTATATAATGTATTTATCTGTCTATCTATATATCTATCCATCTATCTGTCTATCTATTTATCGATTTATCACAGTTCCATAACACCAAACATCACGAAAAGAAATATGCGATTACATAATTAGGCGAATAAAAACTTGTGAGTGAGTGGGTAAGTGGAAATTAGTGCATACAGAAAGTGTACGAGTACAATATATAGGTGCATCTGTGTGTGTGTGTGCGAATTTAGGGGCTAGCCACATGATTACATAACCACGTTGGTTCCTATATATGTATATATATTACTGAATTTCATCTGTCTAGTAGTATAACTATACTCCCATGAAGACAAACTGTTAAATAATAATAATAATAATAATAATAATAATAAACACCACCATAACACAACAAAGTTAGTGAGTTCAGTTGATTTTATGTCAGAGAATCTAAAATTGACGTCTTTTCATCACTCGGTACACAAACAGGAAAGTAAAAAAAAAGGCATATCGGGGCGTACTCATCACGTCATCATACATTAAAACAAACCGCAAACTCTCAAATATACCCGATTATTAGATACATAAAGGGTGAGAAAACAAACCAAAAACATGCAACAAAGAAAAAAAAGCAGAGATTTCATTTACAGAGTAAAACGTTTTTTTGAAAAAAGAAGAGGAGAAAGGCGCTTTAAACAAAATGGAATGGATCTATGTACACAAAAAAGAAAGAAAACAGTATCATCCATTAAAACAAACAATATCACGATGATAAACGAAAATATTAAAAAAAACGGAACAAAAACAAAACAAGTTTAAACTTCTCCAATTAATTCTCTCGGATACGTTTATCTTTCACTGATATTGCCAATCGAGAATTATTTGATGAGGAATTCATAGGATTATTATCATTACTGCTACTATCTATACTACTGTTAGTATTATTATTATCAGTAGTATGATTATTATTATCATTATTATTGGTAGATTTATTCTGTTGATGAGCATCAGCAGATCTGCGTAGATTTGGTGTAAAAGAATTTGCATTCGGTAGTTTAATTTCACTTGATATATCAGCAAAACTAGGACGTTTTTCAGGTTCTTCACTCCAACAACGATTCATCAGTGTACGTAACCATAATGGCATTAAATCTGGCGCAGGTAATCGGTAACCTAAGAAAAGATAAATAAACAAAGAAACAAAGAAAAGAACGATTTGTTTATGCTTCTGAATTCAGTAAAGTGACACATTCAAGTATTAAATTCATGTGTAAAAAAGAATCCCAAAGGAAAGCTGTCATTTTTAGACATCCTACTGACAAGAAGATTAGATTATTATTATTATTTATTTTCCCTTGGGTTCCTAATGGAACATAGGGCTTCAACTGCACGTCTCCACTTGCTCCTGTCTTCTGCTGTACTTTCCACCTGCATCCATGCTAGTCCATATTGTTTCAACTCCTCTTCACACGATATACTCCATGTTACACTTGCACTAACGTCCCACTCTCCGCTTCCCTTTCGGCCTGGTTCCACTCGAGGAATGGCCTGACTCGTGCTCGATGTCACCCGGCGGGCGGTCTCCTCAGCGAGTGTCCAATCCATCTCCGCTTTCTCCCTCCTGCATACTTATTAGTTGGCGATTGGTTCTTGTTTTGTTTGTTCCCAGCTATAGTTTCTTGTTGGTGATTCTTTCTGGCCCGGCTATCTGATCTTCAGTATAGATCCAGCGAAGATAGTTGTTGATGAAGGTCTGCAACAGGCTGTTGTAAATATTCTCTGTGACCCGCCGCCAAGTTTCTGATCCATATGAAAGAGCTGACTGACTTGACGTTTGTATTGAAAATCCGACTGAATTTTGTTGTTGATGCTGGCTGAGTGACGCAGATTTCCAGATTGGTTTCAGGTTGATGAATGCGTGCGTTTCTCGCCTTCCCGATTCTCGATTTGGCATCCTCGTCCGTTCCGACTGCCTGTAGTTGAGACAATGCTCCCTAGATAAGTGAGTGAATGAAGTGACCTCTTTCAAATCCCTCCTGTTGATGGTGATTGGCGCTGGATGTTGCTGCTGTTGTTGTTGGTTGGTTGGTTATTTTCATCACCTCCGTCTTGTCTATGTTCACATGGAACCCTGTCTTCGCCGGCTGCTTCTTCGACCAGTTTATCGGTTTTCGCTTGCAAGTCTTCGATTTTGTGTGACATCAAACACAAATCATCCGCGAAATCCAGGTCATCTAGGTTCTTCACGTTGGTCGGTCCAGGATATCCCTGTCTTCTCGTTTCCCTGACGCATAATCCAGTCCTACACAATTAGGAATATCACTGGTGATAATAAGCACCCTTGTCTGACTCCTTCCTGTGTTTACTCCTAATCCACCTCCGTTTCTCCTTGCTTATTTGTTGCACAATCGGTCCCTGGTTGGTTTGCTCCCAGAGATCCCTCACTAGTGCTGATTTTTCCTGACCGGCCATCTGATCTTGAGTAGTATTGAGCAAAGACAGCTATTGATGACACTGATCTTAACTTGACTCTCTCTTTAAATTCGATTTGAGATCTGTTCAATGGTATCATCAATTATGTTGCGTCACTCAGTTCCTTTATTCAATTTCACTTTAGTCTCTATCAGGTTATTGTTTTCTGTATTACGTAAGTTTCTTTGGAATCTCAGGATCATTATTTAAAAATCAATAACTTTAATGGCAAGTCATTCAAAACATCCCCCTTGTTATTAGCAAAGTGTTTTATATATATAATAGGAATGGTGTTACTGAAATAGTAAGTACAGTCACTAATGAGGTTCAACTGACTGATGAGCCTTGAAGTAGGACGAAACACAGGCCATATTACTACGAAGGGGAAATCTGTCGATGAGGTTGTCAAGTTACATCGATTGAGATAGTTAGAAAATGTGTTACGCACGCATCCCCTAGCCATCGCCTTCTTCGATGAGCGTTATCAGCTGACATTGGGGATCAGGTAGTTAGTTTGAGTCAGCCAGCCAGCCACGTAGGGATGTGTAGACTGTGAGTGTCTGGTTTGGGTCCTGGAGATTCCAAAAACCAATAACTAGAGTCTACAGGTGTTATGGCTCAGAATCGCTATCAGTCATGGCGCAGATGCATTCACTCTCTCAGGATCTGCAATGTTCGGAAACACCCGTATTCCTTTTCCATATTACTATTCTATCTCCCTCACATTTTTGCTTATAACTGGCCTTCTTTCGAATCTCTTCTGTCTGTCTGTTTATGACATAGAACTTTGCACCAATGTGAACCAGTTCAAGTCGCCACACTCCCTCCATGTAGCACACAAAGCCAGCGAAGAAGAAAGTAGAAGAAATGCGTAATAGAGACAGTAAACAGAGGTGTGAAACTAAGGAATAGTAATAACGAAGAACAATATAGTTTCATTGGAAATTATAAGTCACAAGGAGTGGATGCATCTGCGCTGGCTATTGAGAACAATTTTGATCCTTATCACCAGTTGTCTCCAACCTTTATTGGTTTTTACCGTCCCGAAGACCCCAACCAGGAAGTGTACACCTTCATACGTGGCTGGCTTACACTGACTGTTGTGGATTTCATTGACTGGTGCCACCATGGTTGGGCTTGACCACCGCTAGCTGTTTTGCAGTCTGACCCTATGTCAGCTTACATTGACCGTCGAGGAAGGCGATGACTAGTCATACATAACACGTGTCCTAATCATCTCAGTCGATGTAATTTCACAGCCTCGTCGATTGATTTCCCCTCTCACCGCTACCTAGCACTTGACCGAAGTCTAACGTCAATATTGCTCATCCTATCATACCACTTTACACGGGAGATAGAGCGCAGGCACCTATCATCAAAGACAGCTAATCTTTTCATATCTTCCACTCTCAGTGGCCAGGTCTCACAGCCAGCCATAAAGGAGGACGGAGCGGACTGATGAGCAGTACACCCTCCCTTTGGTCGATATCCGGATATCACGTCTACGCCAGAGACAGCGTAAACTAGCATATGCGAAACTAGCCCTCTGTATCCGTGCTGATATTTCGTCAGAGATCAACCCGCTGGTGTTGGCTGATGCAACTTCTCAAATAAGTGAGGCGATCAACGTGTTCTGCCACTTCACTTCCTATTTTTAAACTAGGCGTCGATGTAGTCCAGTCCTGTAACATCATCTTGCATTTGGCGGGAGCGAATCGCATGCCAAACATTCGTAGATTGCAGCTCAAGGTGTGTTCAGAAGACTCTGCATTTTGTCAGCGTCCTCGCCTAGAAGGGAGGACTATATCATCTGCATATTCTAAGTCGATGAGATTATTCCCAGGTAGCAAGTCAATCCCTGAGTCGCTGAATTGAGTTAGGGCTAAGTCCATTAGTACATCTACGATGAAATTAAAGAGAAATGTGTGTTACACATGAAGTGTGGTAAACACGAACTGCAAAGTTCTATGGTGGAACCAGTCAGTCAGTCAGTCAGTCAGTTATTCGGTTACTGTAAATAGTTATGCAAAAAAATGCCACTACATCAGTCAGAAACCACCACCTACCTGATTCAATCATATCTCTTGTCTGTTGATTTGACCAATTCCTGTATGGAACATCACCGAATGTAAATATTTCCCATAAAAGAACCCCATATGACCAAACATCACATTTAATAGTATAACGACCTGTACGAAGAGCTTCAGGAGCAGTCCATTTTATCGGAATTTGACCACGTTTATCACTTAACTAGGGAAGAGAATATGAAATCAAGCAGAATGTTAGAAGAATATAGTTAATAATGGTAATAATAATAATATTAATAATAATTTGCTTTATTCCAAAGCAGTACTTATGATACGGTATGGAATTCTCAGCATTTGATACAATATTGCATCTCATTCACTCAATAACAGGAAAAACAAAAATATTACGCGGTACAGGTAACCGAAATTGAACGTGAACATTGAACGTTGGTTCGTTGGCCTTGATTGCCATTGGCGGGTAACTCGAAGGCGCGAATGGTTCAATCGTCGTGTGTACAAGTTGGAAGAAGACGAAAGAATACGCAGAAAAATTCTGTATGAAATATCGATTTTAATTGCCGAACAATACAAGTTATTGCAAATACTAGTGTTTTGGAGTTAAGGTCGACAATCGTACCTAGTAATTATCTATTTGGAACGTCTTCGCAAATAATAGGAACTTAGGGCTAAGTACCTTGACAGCAACACTATCCTTATCACACAGAAGAATGAGGCAGGGTGAGTCAAATAGGAGGGTATCCTTGAGTATTTGTACTTGGTGCCACGTACGAGCATACCAATCTTTTCATAATGACTTCTAGTCAAACCTGATAAGATGCAAAGAAAGAGGAGGGTTGTGTGAATAGAGACGGAGAGTGTTCAGAGACAATCAGAGAATATGGATTTAGACCAATTTCTCACATGAGGTGTTCTCAAGTGTCGTCTGTCGACTACAAGTAGTAACAAGGCGACTGACTTAGTAGTGGCACACCCCACATGCTCTAGACAACAACAACCTTCAATAATACCTCGAAATATGACTGGCATTATAGTCATTTTTGAGTAGCCGAGGAGAGATTAAGGGAGGGGGGGTGCAAGAGTTAACACAATGTAAAATTTGACGTTAAGGGAATACTGGTTGTTTTAATTGGTGCATGGTGGGTGACTAGCAGTGGAATCCAGGACAATGTGCATTTCAACTGTCCTATTTGGGACTCGTCCTCCAACCGGGGATGTATCTACATTCTGATTGTTTTAACCTTCTAATGCAGAAGGTTAGAAGATATTCTTCGAAATCGACAAGATATGGGATGATTAGTGATGATGAAGAAAGATGAGACGGGAGAACTATCCCAACATATTTTATCCCTGACTTAGGAGAATCATATTCACTTAGACTGAATTTAGATTTCATCACCAATCGACATCACACAGAGAATAATTCAAAACTGAAGAGCATTATGGAATTCGCGGGTGACACAGCTGTTGAAGAGTACCAAACTGAGACGAAGCAGACATATAGAGTGCTGCTTGGTTAGCAGCAATTTCTCAACTAATATCAGTTTGTAACCGAATCTAACCGTGAAGTCAGCCGAAATCTTGGTGCGCTACATGCAGAGAGAGTGGCAACTCAAACCGCTGCACATCTGTGCAATGTTCTTGATTTTTTTCATTTTTGATTACAGCTTGATTCCACATTGTATTTTTGGTACAAGTATGGAATTTTCAGCATGGATATCGTAGCCCGAATTTTTCAGGCCGACTATAGATATCAGGTGTGCGTCGGCAGGGGATCGAACCTCGGACCATGTGCATGGTCGGCGAGAGTCCTAACCACTGTGCCATCGACGCTAAAACCAGTCAGTCAGTCACTGTAGAATCTGATGTACTGGAAGTTATCGAAAAGAATGTCCTTTGTTGATATAAGTATAAAACTTCGTCACTGTGACGGTAGAGTATAATTCCATTATGGATAAGATTTTATTTTTATTATTAAAGTATCACACAATGGTGTTATACAGTAATATTAACTGATGACCACATTTCGAGTACAAATTGTGGTTGGCTCATCATCTTATCAAGTCGCTAATCATACTCATTTATTAGTTTTTGGTTTTTGAAATTTTTAAATGGCATCTTTGATTAGATGGAGGATTTCGTCATGAGCTGATATCAGTTGGAGAACCACTGGAAAACCAGCTGGGAGTACTGGACAGCCGACTGCTTCGTCCTAGTTTGGGACTCTTTAGCGCTACACCCACCACTGACAGGGTTCGAACCCAGGACCTTCTGGTTACAAGGCGAGCAAGCACGTAGACCATTCAGCAGTCACTGGGACCCGATGCAATGGCCAGCCAGTGCATGAATTCTAACTTCTGCCAATTCATGACATAGAGCGACCACTTCGCAATGTCTTCTTCGATGAGTTACTGCCTCATCTTCAGCCTGCTGTACCCTACTGGTCACGGCTTCCAACTAGAAACCCAGGTCACTGCCTGAATAGAGCCAGTCGCTAGTGAGCATCAGATCAGATCTTTAATTAGTCAAAAAACAACGCACACACAAACACACACAAAAGAAACCACTACTTATCAAGCGAATTGTACTCACTTCATAAATATGCTCTTCTCTAGACATTCCAAAATCTGCTATTTTCAATTGACCATCATCTGTAATTAAACAATTTCTTGCAGCTAAGTCGCTAAACAAGGGAGAAAAATAGAAGACAAATAAAACGAAGGTCGTTGAAACATGAATAATTGTTAGTCTGATGGGATTGTGTTCTCTGAGCTAGCTGGATAGTTAATTTGCGAAGCTCTTTTATTCCCTACTAGGCAACATCTTCAGTGCAAACTTCAATTCGTTGAAGTGACCTTTAAGATTTCTCCAGTGAATCATCAATCAATAGACACATCAAGATAGACAAAATTTATCAACCCATAAGAAAGAAACCTCACACACACACACAAAGGGTCAAAGTTCAAGTCAAAGTAACAATCAGTTCCAATACAAGTAACCTAGATGATGTGAAAACACACAAAAACAACCAATCACGTTCAGTATGGTCACCAGGAGAGATGATTAATAAACTCATGGAAAAATCTAAAAGCTCACTTCAAACTGAAGTACGCGATGAAGATGTCACTTGGCAGGGCGATAAAAGCTTCACAAATTAACTATCCAGCTCAGAGAACACAACCGCATCAAAATCATCCACCTGAGCTACAAATCTTTTCTATCATATATGAATAATTGTAAGTTAGAGTAAGTTACTAGAGTAATGTTATAACCAGAACTACGACCTAGTAGAAGACTATGAGCGAATACTAACTTCAATGCCCTGGGCTAATCTGTCCTAATCGCACGTCAAGAACAACGACAATACCGCTGGGTGAAGAAAGAGACATGGAAAGACTGGACGTTGGGTAAGAGAGCTTCTACTATCTCAAGAAAACAGTCCAATAAAAGGTTGGCAGAGCTTGCGTATGTATGCATATATATGTTTAAAATGACCTTGAGAAGCATTTATGTCATTGATTGAATTAAGACAGTGAACGACCAATAAGATTTCAAAGGTCATAATTAGGGTGAGAGAAAATCAGACCATATATGGTCTTGTCGCCTGTCGCTTCCACATCAAATGCCAACATTCCATTTCCCGTGAACATGTAAGTTCCATTTCATTTAAAAATATTACTGGCAGGTGCCCAAGCACTGACGAGAAAGGTCATTGTACATCTGGTTGTTGGAAAGAGATAAGGGCTTTACGTTCAAGCATAAACTCCTTCCAGGCACGAATGGAGTCACGTCTTTCTGACATTGAGGCTAAACTGTCGCAAGTAAACGTTGTCGACAGCATTGACACTAATATCTCGTGTGTCAATTCCGTTCAAAATTTAAAGAGTTCTGGAAGATGTCAGTTAGACAGCGATGCCGTCATGTCATCGTTTGAGGCGAAACTGTCCCAAGACGAATATCGTCAGGATGTGTCGGCGGAGCTGTCTAGTTTGGTTGACGGGGACGTGCAAACCTCCGTTGGTCGCATAATGAATGTGTTGTTGGAGCCGAACTACAGCTCACATTTTTCATGGGCTGGCACTAAGGAGAAAAAGAAATTCAAATACACGAAAACGTGTAACCTTGTGATACGTAGGTGACATTTTTTTCATTGTTGTCTCTCTAGGAACTATTAGCAGTTTACATAAACTTCATAATGCTGACCGACGTACCACAGTGAAGGCTATCACGGCTTCAATTCAATGTTGGTTCCATAACAGTCGGGACAGACTGAAATCGAGAATTAGAAGGCGGCGGCGTTCCCCATTGGTAGGTACTAATTTTTTCCTAACTTCATTTTTCAGATCAACGTCGACGTCAACAAAGAAAACCTACCAGACGCCGAAAGCACACGGCTGAATTTTCCTGGTGACTTATAGGATGTTCTACTTCAGAAAGTTATCTGAAGATTGTAAATTTTTTTGCCAAGATTATTAAATATATTTTCAATTAAAATCAACTGCTTTTTGTTAATGTGAGTCGTTGAGCTACTGCCAGTTTATTGTTTTTTGAGACGACCTGTGTGCATGATAGATTTAACTCTGATTTAATTGTCGATTAATAGTTAAATGAGGAACCGAAGACACGTTATCCCAGGTCGCAGTTAGTCATAATAATTTAGGGCGTATAGCAGACATTTCGAGGCAGACTTAGGGCTAATTGCAGACTATTTGGGGCAGACTTCGGGCAAATTGCAGACTATTTGGGGCAGACTTAGGGCAAATTGCAGACTATTTGGGCAGACTAAGGGCAAATTGCAGACTATTTGGGGCAGACTTAGGGCAAATTGTAGACTTTTTGGGGCAGACTTAGGCCAAATTGCAGACTATTTGGGGCAGACTTAGTGCAAATCGCAGACTTTTTGGGGCAGACTTAGGGCAAATTGCAGACTTTTTGGGGCAGACTTAGGGCAAATTGCAGACTATTTGGGGCAGATTTCGGGCAAATTGCAGACTATTTGGGGCAGAATTCGGGCGAATTGCAGACATTTCGTTGCAGACATAGAGAAATTGTGGACTATTTGGGGCAGACTTAGGGCAAATTGCAGACTACTCGAGTCAGACTTACGGCAAATTGCAGAATATCTGGGGCAGAATTGGGGCAAATTCCAGAATATCTGGGGCAGAATTCGGGCAAATTGCAGACTATTTGGGGCAGACTTAGGGCAAATTGCAGACTATTTGGGGCAGACTAAGGGTAAATTGCAGACTATTTGGGGCAGACTTCGGGCAAATTGCAGACTTTTTGGCACAGACTAAGGGCAAATTGCAGACTATTTGGGGCAGACTTAGGGCAAATTGCAGACTATTTGGGCAGACTTAGGGCAAATTGCAGAATATTTGGGGCAGACTTAGGGCAAATTGCAGACTATTTGGGGCAGACTTCGGGCAAATTGCAGACTATTTGGTGCAGACATAAGGCAAATTGCAGACTTTTTGGGGCAGACTTCGGTCAAATTGCAGACTATTTGGGGTAGACTTCGGGCAAATTGCAGAATATCTGGGGCAGAATTCGGGCAAATTGCAGACTTTTTGGGGCAGACTTCGGGCAAATTGCAGACTATTTGGGGCAGACTTCGGGCAAATTGCAGACTATTTGGGGCAGACTTCGGGCAAATTTCCGACTTTTTGGGGCAGACTTAGGGCAAATTGCAGACATTTCGAGGCAGATTCAGGGCGAATTGCAGACTATTTGGGGCAGACTTCGGGCAAATTGCAGACTATTTGGGGCAGACTTCGGGCAAATTCAAGACTATTTGGGGCAGAATTCGGGCAAATTGCAGACTATTTGGGGCAGACTTAGGCCAAATTGCAGACTTTTTGGGGAGACTTATGGCAAATTGCAGACAATTTGGGGCAGACTTAGGGCAAATTCCTGAATATCTGGGGCAGAATTCGAGCAAATTGCAGACTATTTGGGGCAGACTTAGGGCAAATTGCAGACTATTTGGGGCAGAATTCGGGCAAATTGCAGACTATTTGGTGCAGACATTAGGCAAATTGCAGACTTTTTGGGGTAGACTTCGGGCAAATTGCAGACTATTTGGGGCAGACTTCGGGCAAATTGCAGACTATTTGGGCAGACTTCGGGCAAATTACAGACTTTTTGGGGCAGACTTAGGGCAAATTGCAGACTATTTGGGGCAGACTTCGGGCAAATTGCCGACTTTTTGGGGCAGACTTCGGGCAAATTGCAGACTATTTGGGGCAGACTTCGGGCAAATTGCAGACTATTTGGGGCAGAATTCGGGCAAATTGCAGACATTTCGAGGCAGACTTAGGGCCAATTGCAGACTATTTGGGGCAGACTTCGGGCAAATTGCAGACTATTTGGGGCAGACTTCGGGCAAATTTCCGACTTTTTGGGCAGACTTAGGGCAAATTGCAGACATTTAGAGGCAGACTTAGGGCGAATTGCCGACTTTTGGGCAGACTTCGGGCAAATTGCAGACTATTTGGGGCAGACTTCGGGCAAATTGCAGACTATTTGGGGCAGACTTCGGGCAAATTGCCGACTATTTGGGACAGACTTCGGGCAAATTGCCGACTTTCTGGGCAGACTTAGGGCAAATTGCAGACATTTCGAGGCAGACTTAGGGCGAATTGCAGACTATTTGGGGCAGACTTCGGGCAAATTGCAGACTATTTGGGGCAGACTCGGGCAAATTGCCGACTTTTTGGGGCAGACTTAGGGCAAATTGCAGACATTTCGAGGCAGAGTTAGGGCGAATTGCAGACTATTTGGGGTAGACTAAGGGCAAATTCCAGACTATTTGGGGCAGACTTCGGGCAAATTGCCGACTTTTTGGGGCAGACTTAGGGTAAATTGCAGACATTTCGAGGCAGATTTAGGGCGAATTGCAGACTATTTGGGGCAGAATTCGGGCAAATTGCAGACTATTTGGGGCAGACTTAGGGCAAATTGCAGACTTTTTGGGGAGACTTAGGGCAAATTGCAGACAATTTGGGGCAGACTTAGGGCAAATTCCTGAATATCTGGGGCAGAATTCGAGCAAATTGCAGACTATTTGGGGCAGACTTAGGGCAAATTGCAGACTATTTGGGGCAGAATTCGGGCAAATTGCAGACTATTTGGTGCAGACATTAGGCAAATTGCAGACTTTTTGGGTAGACTTCGGGCAATTGCAGACTATTTGGGGCAGACTTCGGGCAAATTGCAGACTATTTGGGGCAGACTTCGGGCAAATTACAGACTTTTTGGGCAGACTTAGGGCAAATTGCAGACTTTTTGGGCAGACTTAGGGCAAATCGCAGACTTTTTGGGCGGACTTAGGGCAAATTGCAGACTATTTGGGGCAGACTTCGGGGAAATAGCAGAGTATATTGCGCACACTTAGGGCAAATTGCAGACTATTTGGGCAGACTAGGGCAAATTGCAGACTTTTTGGGCAGACATAGGGCAAATCGCAGACTTTTTGGGGCGGACTTAGGGCAAATTGCAGACTATTTGGGGCAGACTTCGGGAAATAGCAGAGTATATTGCGCACACTTAGGGCAAATTGCAGACTATTTGGGGCAGACTTAGGGCAAATTGCAGACTTTTGGGCAGACTTAGGGCAAATCGCAGACTATTTGGGGCAGACTTCGGGCAAATTGCAGACTATTTGGGGCAGACTTCGGGCAA